GAAATGGGGTCCAACCGACCCCACACCCGTAAAACTTGTATCATTTGCCACAGTCCACGCACGCACAAGGGTTAAGTTACAGTAAATGAGGAACGAGAGAAGGGTCCGGTCGTAGTAAAACCAGTCATGTTGTGCTTTTATGTTCTTAGGGTCTTTAGTCCAAATGGACACCGGGGCACTTCATGGAGCGACTCAGCCTTTTCAGCATTTAAGAACTGCTCTTGATAGCGAGCAGAGAGAGGAGTAAGAGGTTGATGAGTGAAGCCCTCAGCAACGGTAATCCCATTAGTGCTGTACTGGATGGTAAGCTCTCCACTAATGAGTGATGAGTGTGTATGTGTGTCCCATGTGCGCATGTACCCAGTATGTGCGTGTGAGTACTGCCGAGTCCTGCTGAGGCTATCCTAATTATCAGACGTGACTCACGTGAGGGTAATTACAGCACATGGAACACTGGGAACAAGGCTACAGCTGACCCAAAAATCTTCAACACTAATGAAGCGATAGCACTCGCAGAGTCCACGCAGGCACACATTCTGTTCTCACATCTAGCTGAGACATAGGGACCAAAATTGCGAGTCAGTAAGACAGGCAAGAGGACAGAAAGGGGACAAACGTTTCCTTCAGACTGCATTAGCGAGAGCAGTGAGATTTAGGAAAAGCTGTCAAGAGACCCTCGGCCTTGTTCCTGTATGAACTAATCTGGCAGCACTCTGTTCTTTGTCATATCTGGCCACAGCTCTACACTACTTTGGTCTGCTCCCACAGCCGCGGATTAAGCTTGGCTACCCGAGACTAAATTCTCTATTGAGGAATCATCTAAGTGTAATCCGTCTGTGAAGCCATCCCTGTATAGTACAGCATATTATTTCTTTCACAATGACTATTTTACACACCACGCTCTGGAGATGCATGCGGACATGCACAAGAATGGTTTTGCCGTGTGTTGGCATGGGAGCGTGAGGGTTTCTTTAATTTGTTACCCAAAAAAAGATTGGTTCACCTGAGGCAGCTCACATGGGAACACATTAACTAAACCTAGGTATAGGATATTCTCCAGCTGTCATTTGTTTAACTTTCAGTAACACTCTTATTTAAATGTCCAGAATCACTTTTACTGAGGCTTTTATTTTATGCGTTTTCTCTTTTAACGTCTGTTATCTATAGGATTTGTGTTAAAAACGATCATGACTGCATAACAGGGCCATGAAAAATACCCATAAAGATTATTCTGTTTTTAATTTTTTTTTTGTGTCGTGCTCTTTACATGACTGTGGACGATTATTGCTTCACTTTTGAAACAAGAATCACCCGTTTAAGATCACCTGTTTCATCATTAGAGTTAAGTTCAGATTTTTACAACAAAACTCAATGACTGCCTTTCATAGCAGGCAGATGCTTCATTGTTACATCTGGTTGCTTCTACTGGTTTAAACATTGGTTTGAAAAGCTCTAGAGCATGTGTTTACAGTTGTAATAGCTCTTCAGACCATAGCCACTTCTGGTAACTTAAAATGGTAATATTTATTTTCAGAAACAGATGAGTCTATGTTTCTGTATGTACTGTTTGGGTTTATTGAACATGAATAAACACCATATGCTCTCTGTGACAGATTACCAGACATCCTTGCTGACTTACTCCTAAAAAAAAAAAAACATCACCCACCTAATTTTAGTTCCTTGCTCTTTCACTATTTCCAATGATATCAGATTAACTAAATGTAGGTTTGTGACCGACTCATTCCTAATGTCTTGTATTCACAAAGAAACAGCGTGGGATGAGGGAACATAAGATCAAGCTGCTTGAATGGGTATAAGAAAGACCTTGGAAACCACCTGTGATACCACTAAGGTATCTGGTCCAAGTGGAATTTAATTTATATTTGATGAGTGGGAAGCTGCATCACAGCAGCCTAATTCTCAATGCTCTATTCCCAAGGCTTTGGCAAGAGTCTAACTACAAAGGAGCGAGGCATCATTCAAGGTCCACGGCTTTGCTTTTATTGTCAGGAGGAATCAAGAGGATGATTCAGGTGACCTGTGTGTGGGCATGTTCTCTCTGCTACCTTGGCCTGTTCACTTACATCTGTGAAAGATTTATTAACATTCCTGAACTTCTTTCTGAGATGAAAAACTACAGTCACAAAAGAAATTGCTTGGAGTCGTGTTAGAACAAGGACGGAGTATATTTTCTTCCAATGGGTTTGTAAAACATCAAATGTGTAATTTGTACTGTGAAGAATATGTTTATGGTTGATTAGGTCACAGATTTATCTTTCCGTAAAGAAAATGCATTTAAGAGAATATCTTAATGCATTTCTGATGTTAGTTGATTTCTTTTGGAAAGTTGGTGCTATTAGAATGTCAGATAACTTCCTGTTAGCTCCTCTAGAGGGCACGAGCAAAAAAAGAGCCCTAACCAGACAATGGTACTATAGGGACTTTCTGAGCTTCAAATAATGTTATAATGTTATTTCCTCATCAGTGTTGCTGTGATTTATTCCTGCATGTCTGAGAAATCCTTGAATCTTGCAGAGCAGCCACTCGGAGGTGTCCCAACGCCTGCGCCATTTTACCCAAAGCTCCTCCTTGGAGCTGCAGTCTCCAGCAGAGTTTCCTCCCTGCAGAGCGCCCCTCACCCATGTCTTCCCCATTTAGCCCCATTAGACTAGTGACAGCAGCAATTAGCAAACAACTGGTGGAAATGCGAATCTGCTGATTGTCATTCAAACTACTTCTCAGTCCAACTCTCCTAAGAAAGGTTGCGAATGGAATCAGGGGGAAAACTGTTGTTACGACATCCAGAAGGGAAAGTTCTGGAAAGGGTAGGAGCTTCTTAAAGGAAACAGAAGCCAATTTCAAGGTATCAGATATGGCTATGATGTGAAGTTAAATTTCTATTAAGCAATGTTTTATATATATATATATATATATATATATATATATATATATATATATATATATATATATATATATATATATATATATATATATGTTCATTGTATATTTTTAGAACAACTTAAAGTAACATAGTTAACTGGTTGTGCTCTAAAATGGCACTATGTGCCAGGAAAGTACAAAATAGCATGGGATGTAGAGAATGATTTAGAGGATTCAACACAACATGATGTCCTGTTGTTATAATATTATAATTTTATAACAAGGAAGTCTCTGTCATCCTCCTGAAGGAAGGGTGGTTTATGGTTTTTAGGACATTAAAAAGGCTGGTGGATGGGACAGATCTACGTCAGTGGTAAACAGCTCCAGTCCTCTGGGGCCGGTGTCTTGCAACCTTTAGATTTTTTTTAGATTGAATTATGTAGTCAAGTTCTCCAGAGACCCGCCAATGACCGGCTTATCTGACTCAGATATATTGAAGCAGAGACACAACTAAAAGTTGAAGGACGCTGGCACTCTAGGACTTGAGATGTCAGACCCTGATCTACTTTTAAGTGTACTAATAAATCACAAATGTGGGCAGGACATCAATTTTGACAACTTAAGAAGCTTTAAAACCATCTTTAAGTCTATGAACATGAATTTGGAAAACAAACAAAAAAATCTAGACTGTCCTGTCTGTTTTATCATTTTAGGGAAGCTGGGTACAGAATGGACTTACATTTTCTGTGATGTAAGACTGGGAACTTCGACTATGTCTTCAAGGCCTGGTGTCCTGCATCGTTTAGATCTGTCCCTGGTCCAGCACAGCTGAATTCAGTGGTTGAATTATCTCCTCAGTTTGCAGTCAAGTTCTCCAGTGTCCTGCCAATGACCTCATTATTTAACACAGGTGTATTAAAGCCGAGACACATCTAAAAGCTGCAAGACACCAGCCCTCAAGGCCTGAAGCTGAAGATCCCTGGTGTAAGGTCATAGGGAATTTGTAGCTTTTCAAAATAAAAGCTTGAGTTCAGTCGCATTTATGAATAGTTAAGGCAAAAAGTGCTCATTTATATGAATTTATGAAATGTTCAGCAGCCGAAGCGTTTATAATTCAAATTAGTTTGCTATTTGGCATATTGGAATGGTCTAGTTAAGCAAAAAAACAAACAAACAAAAAAAAACAAACACATTTTTAGTATTAATAAAGACAGAAAAAGATTTATTTGCAAACTATGTGTTTATTTTAGTGTGTTTGCTACTCCAAATTTGCTATACTGACATTGTATGTGTATTTTGATCTCCAGAATAACATAATACTAGCTAGTTGGTTGTTTGAATATTTTGTTGATTATGTTAAAGCCCAACTAGGGATAAATGGAAAAGCAATAAACTCTTTGCTTAGCAAAATAAGGGGGCCCTACACTGAAACTAGTCAAACTGTATCATCAATATTAAAATGATATTCTACCCTGTTCTATATCTTAACTTTGCAATATGTGTTTAAGTCGCTGTATGTGCGAGGTATTTTGTCTGCTGGCGTGAGCTCACACATCGTTTCTTTGACGGCGCAATGAACCGAAAAGCAATGAAGGGCGACCCACTAATTTGTGTGTATGCGTCTGATGCAAAGCAGGATACCCTCAGCCCACACGTTGGCTGTCACAGTTCCTACGTCTTATTGACTCCTACACCGACAGAGAGTTGATGTTTGTCTGTCTGCCTGAGTGCATTTGTGAGTTATCTTGATCAAATTCCCAATTACACAGATGAGTGGCTCTTTAACGTTGGATTCCCCATACAGATAAACACTTATATCACATCCACTCTCTTACAAAGTACAAACACAGACACACAAATGAGCCTCACAGGCCAGAGGCACCAGGCACTTCATTTCCCATTCCGCCCCCTTCTGCACCCTCGTATTCCTCTCTGGTCTCCCCAACACTCAATCCACAGTCACTATAGCAACCTCACAAAGAGCTACTAGCAGTCAAGCCGATCATGTCACTGCAACATCAGTCAGGGGACGGAGGTGCACGCCTCCAAATCGACTGACTGCATACAGCGGCTCCCTCCCTCTCGTTGCGCGGAAACCGACAAAACCAAACATACCGTACCTTTGCTCATGTTTCATCCTCGCCGTTGAAGTTTGAATGTGGGAGCTGAAAGAGAACAGAGAAGACATGTTTGGACAATTGAATACTCATCAAAAAAATCATATTGATTGGTGTGTCCTCTTTCCTTCCTGTCCTACAAAAAATGATTTGCTTCAAAACATGTAGTGATGATGAGGCAGACAGAGAACTAGATAGGGGGGCCTATGAAGGTGCTATCTGTTCAAAGGGGCCATTCAAGAGCGTTCCTGTTAGGTACGTTACTCTGCTGCCACCTGTAGATTACACCCGGTACTTCCTCCATCCATCCATCCATCCATCCATCCTTCATCTTATCCTTGCAGGGTGGTGGGGCACCCAGTAACTCCACATGCAGAAAGTCTTAAGAATGTGAACTTCTACAACAAAGGCTCAAATGTAACTTACTGAAGATAAAAAAAAAGGAGTAGATGAGTTGTGCACTAGACAAAGATTTGATGTTTAACATGCTGTTTGATTCCGAAAAAATCCCCCATGATACTATCTTTCTGCCTTCTGCGTACAGTACAGAGGAGTACCAGTGAAGCAATCAGCTCGCCTCAAAATCCTCAGCACATCATCCAAGAATACGTTCAAAGAGTTTGATCAAATCTCTGAGTCTGCTTTTCTTTTCTTTGTACTTCAGAGGCTCGATAGCCAAAATGAGTCAAGCGCAAACTCAAATTCCAGCCAGCCTCAGAACGGAGAAAGTGGCACTCAGAGCAGCAACACGCACCAGCTTCATGCGGCTTCTGCATCTTTAAAACAAACTGGGAAAGGATGAGCGAATGCTTTATTTTTAGAGCAGTGACGCTATGCAAACTTGAACACTAACACGGGAAGAAGGCTCAGCGATGCGTTGGAGAGCCGCGTATTCAATAATGTATCAGAGGCAGCAGTTTTTAAAGACAGCTGGGGATCGCCGCTCTGTCTTGTCTTGTCTCTTTGCATGTCTTTTCCTGCCTTCTGTCCACTGCGGATGGCAGCAGATTTGCCTCTCCTGGGGGCTGGTGATGTTTGGTTAAACTTTAATCCTGTCGACAGTGTCTTCACTCACTTTCTGTTCCCGAGAATCAAGTCTTCCTCCGTGTTCCCTTTCTTCAGTCAGTGTCTCAGAGCAAACATGTTCTCCATATCCCTTTGTTTTTGTATTTCTAGAGCTGACACAAGGTATTGTGGGGTTTTTTTTATGTGCATTTAAGCATAGCAAGCCAAGTGTTTTGTATAGCACATGATGAAAACAACAGACTGAAATTAGTGATGTTTCAGTTATTTTTAATCAAAGGCAACTGCAAACAAATGGGCTTTTATTTAAAGGAACTCTGCTTATGCATCTTTATGGTTTTCTGGGAGTTTTTTTTAAAAATAGAGGAGCGTAAAACTTGAACGCTGCTTCTCCATGTTTGGTTCTGATTTTAAGGATGCAGAGTAGACGTGAACCAGAAGACCCAAGTGGTATGGAGGGTTGATACAACGATTACAGATCTTCCACACTACACTGGAAAGACAACAATTAAATTGACTGATCACAGAATCAAATGGTCACTTTATCCTCCCGGAGTTGACAAAACATTTATTGAGGCCCTGGGCAGAATTTGATTTGGGGACCCACTTCCAGTTAAATCGCCTCAGTTATAGCTATATTGGTCTTTACAACTGGGGATCAAATATAATTTAAATTTATTTCTTTACTTTTTGGGTGTGACCTTCATATCATACCTCTTTTAAATATGTATTAGTAATTTCTGAAGAGGTTTTTTTTTTAATACAGACCCACTAGAGTAGAAGGAAAGAACAATTTAATTATCTGGGCTTATATTTTTTGTTTTTACACTTATTTATTTGCAGTAATAGTGTGCATGAAATGGAACTTCAGCATAGACACAAGCAGCAGAATTTACTTACTTGCGATATTAAGTTATGACTCTCGACATAACCAAATTATAATAAAGGTATAATCATAGATACTTTAAATTTAAAATAAAAAAAACATTGCATTCTTTGAATTTTGATGTCCAGAGACTATTTTAATACAAAAGAAAATTGGGTTCATTCTTGATAAAAGTAACTCCAAATCCGACATTTTAAGCAGTAAATTATTGCCCCTATTCGGGTACTGCTGTTATAAAACTCCTTTTAGCAAACTACAAGCAGACCATCTCTTACAAGCTTCTTACACATTGATGCTCTGTAAATGGAAAAATTGTATCGTGCTGTTTCATGCAATTTGAAAATGAAAAATATTTTCAACTTCACTCCATATGATTGTTTTAATAATAAAGATACTGATAACATTAATATGATTAGTAACTATGTCAAATTATTTCTCATGTAGTAGTCGAAAAAACACTTTGATCATTTTTGCCGTTTTTGTTTACAGTTTCCGTGTACATACTTTTATACTGAAAAGTGCTATTCATAAATGCAAATGCCTGCTGTGTGCAAATCAGTAAGGAAACAAATCTGCATTGGAGAGTGAAAGTTGAAGAATATGTTCACGTTTCTGTTTTAGCAACACCGTGATCAGTGCTTACCTTGCTTCAGTACACAGATTCACGTTGCTGCTTCATCCTTGAGGAATAAAAGAGCACGAAATCTCCCCAGAATTCTCCTACAAGACACAAGAAGAGGTAGAGACAGAAAGAGGGGGAGGGGGGGAGAGAAATGAGAAGAAAAGAAAAAAAAGTGGGAAAGGGATTAGGAACAGTGCCTCAGTCTTTCAGAACTCAGAGCTTTTAAAGCCAAGTCTCACTTTCTAAAAGTTCCCTGTATTTCTGACTGCGTGTGTGTGTGTGTGTGTGTGTGTGTGTGTGTGTGTGTAAAACTCTGGGCACGTTCATGTTTACAGCATTCAAGCCGAGACTTTTTTTTTTTTTTTTTTTCCACAGCGAAGCCAGAGTTCAACGACTGAGTTGTTCCAAAAGCAGTCTGGGTCAAATGGACAGCCCTGGCTCAACTCCTACAGTGGGAGCTTTTAAGGCTTTTAGGGCCTTCCACAGCAGCAGTGTGCAAATCTTGCAGACTGTGAGGGGGAGAAGGGGCTGAATAAAAAGGGTAAAAAAAAAAACAAGACAAGGTGGGAAAAGCATACTGCACTTGAGTACAGGAAGCACACACTGATGGGTGAGGAGAGTGGGCGGGGTGTTGTATTAGGACACAGGTGGGTGCTCGAGCACAGAGGTGTGTGAAATGTGAATACAACAACACGCCGACATACACACAACATCCAGACATCACTCTTCAGTGTTTTCCAGTGTTTGGTCACTGCATTGACCCGAGACTCTTATTCAATATTCGTGGTACGGCAGAGTGCACTGAGACACAGCAAAAAAAAAAAAAAAAAGAGAAAAATCACTTCAGATGTGGAGAGGGTCTCAGAGGATTAGAAACGGGTCCACAGTTATTCTTGTCATGACATCATGGCAAAACTACACAACTGAAAGCATCTAAAACATGTAAAAATTAAACCTTTGAAGGATTTTATCGTAGTAAATAGCTACCATATAAAAGTTTGACACATTTCACCCACAACACACCTGTAATTTTACACTAGAACAAACGGTAATGGTTCTTTTCACCACTGATTGGTTGCAATCTGCCTCTGGCTAACAGAGAGATAACATGCCATAGCAAGCAGCCGCCACCAGTCTGCGCTGTTACACCACTCCTGCATTCGTGCCGCTGACCGACTTAACAAACCGGGCCAGTAGATGATGGCAGCATACACTAAAATGCAGGGATTTCATGAAGGAAACATGATGAGTGATTTAACAGCGAATGATAACTAGGCTCTGTGTCATTACTGTTGCTTTCTTTGACCCACAAACACCAGCCGTTTTCAGGTCGCAGCAGCAGCAGGAGCATCTTACGTAATGTAATCGAAAAGCCGTTTGATGAGTCCATGTCTGTGCCTGGCTTTCATGATCTGTGAAAGATGTGATAGATTTCTCTGCTGCCCCAGCTTGTGCATACTATGTGCACTGTGGCAAATGCTTGTTGCACACAGTGTGTGAAAACTAGTTCACACTTTATTTTCAGTTGATGACACATTCGTCCCTGGATTCTTTCTCCAGTTGCATCATGTTTCTTCCCTAATAATACGAGAGCTGTAAAAATCTGCTTGCAAGAGAACTACAGTGCGATTAAGTTATCCTCTATATCTATCTGAGATTTTGACTTAACTGTGCAGTCTTCCTCTGCCGTTCAAATTTATTGTCAACCCTTGAACTTTTACACATTTTGTCCAGTTAAAATCTCAGATTTTAATTACTGGGAGTTTTATTTGATGGACCAACATAAAATTGTGCATAACTCTGAAACAGAAGACAAATGATCCAAATATGTTCAAGACAACTGTTGGGTATTGTTCTAGTAAAAATAAAAATAAGTGATTTTTATCTATACAGCTTTTTTTTTTTCTGGATTAAAACCATCTCCTCTAGTTTTAAGCCATGATTTAATATTACAAAGCAATCTCTGATCAGTATTGCTTGCCCAAAAAACTGTCACCAATTCTTCTTTGCAAAATAGATTGGATGCAGATGGTCTATAAATATCAAGACTCAACAGAAATTCAGTATGTAATTGAGGTCTTAACCTTAACTAGGGCATTTTAATACATACACATGCTTCTTATGAGGCTGCGTGGATGCAATGGGTTTTATTTGGGGCTTCAGGGGAGAAGGGGTTGAGTACAAATGCATGCTGCAGTTATTTTATTTTATTTTTTTTAAACTTGAAGCTCATATAAATTCTGTGCTGCTTTTTGTTGGCATATCACATACGATCCCACAGAACACAATGACATTTGTGGTTGTAACAAGAAAAAATATATTTTTTCCAGTCTTGCTGACCTATTTTGCTCGTCTTTATCTGCCCAGTAGAAGTAATGAAAGACCCAGCAAATTTGTGTCTGAAAGGAAGTGTGAAAACTGGAAATCTAATGCAGATTTTATAGAAGATCTTGTATGTTTATCCAGAATTGGTGTGAGCAGATATACTTGTAGATTCCTCCCTGATTTTTGTGTGATAAAGTGGCACCCACTATGAGGCCCTTTTTTTTTTTTTTTTTACCTTCTTTGAAACTCTCAGAGAACTCCCATGGGAACCCTTCACAGCAGCCTTTGAAGGTTTTTTTTTTATGTTAAATGGCTGAACTGACTGTTCTGCGAGAGTCAATTAGAAGGGAATTCATATCCGCGTGTTGTGTCTGGACATCCTCTTGCAGGTTTCAGCTGGTGGCGGATGGGATTCAGGGCAAAGCTGCAGATTATTTAGGTCAGCGAAGTGCTTTCTCGTACCATTTTCACACCATGAGGCAAACTATTTCTGCACTGAATTGCACGCCGATGGCCCAGATAATTTGTGATGTCTAACCCCTAACCACGGCAGCCCAGTGGAACGAGGCTTACTTTGGTTTGGCTTCACTCAGCATGTGTGAAACACTCTTCTTAGGGCTTCTGTCAACTGAACTCAACATCAAGGCAAGTGGGTGAGTTGGGCAGCGGAATGGGCTGCAGACATACATCTTTAACCCCAGTTAAAGTGGAATAGCACACTGAGGGCCACCCATAACACTGACATGATGGCCCACAAATATCATCTCCTTGCACAGATTTCCTCGAGCAGCACCGTCTCTTCTTACACCGTCACTTAAGTGTGAAGTGTGTGACGATCACATGCTCACCCGCAGTGCAATTTTCTGGAGACAACATTTCAGCAGCTAAAATAAGTTTGTAAACATGTTTACTCTTTTGCAAATCTATTTGCAGCCTCTGATCCAAATTTTTTCCAGAATTTTAGGGAAGTTATTTTGCGGGTCAAGCCAGCAGCAGGGGATCACAACAGCACAACACTGTTCTGCATAAACAACTCGTACTTGTTTACGGCTGGTGGGAGTTATGCATGCCTAGTATCTAAATCGCAACACAAAGTAATAGGGATGATTAAGGATTTTAGGCAGATACATGATAGATACACAAAATGGCTGCAAAATAAAACTGAGCTCTGAGGTGTGAACTTTTGCTCCCACACTTAAGACTGGAAGGGCCCCTGATGGAATAAGATTTATTCAACTTGCACAACTATACTTATAAAGTAATTATGCAAAACGGCATCAAAAATCATAAAAGAAAAAAAACACAACATAAGACTGTTCTCATTTTAATCCTATTGTGAAGTAAAGTTATAGACAGGATAATGAAAATACTTTTAGAATTTAAAGAAATATCAGAATACTGTGACTGCATGATCTGTGCAGCTGTGATATCAAACATGTAATGAAAAAGTTTACATGTTCATTGAATCCTGATCTTCCATGTTACAAACACAAACTTCAAAGTGTTTTCTAGGGGCTTCCTAAGTGCCAAACACAACAAATGGTGGTGCTTAACTGTGAAGTTGAATCCAGGGCAGACCTGGAAGAAAAACTGAGGTTTCAAGATGAGACTGGCGCAGAGGTTAACCGTTAATTAAGGTTAATCATTGTAACACAAGGTATCATTTCTTTTTCAGTTTTAATTTAAAAAAATTTTTGGCACTAATATAGCCCTTATTGACTGGTTTCTAGACAGGAAATGGGCTGAGAGCAAAGGGAGACAGACATGTAGCAAAGGTCTCAAGACTGGGGATTGAACTCAGGACAGCCGAATTGAGGACGATATAGCCTCTGTACATGAGGCGTCCGCTCTACTGCTACACACTTGTTAGTTCCTGGGGACGTTATTTCTTCAGAAATAACTTGCAACCTTACAGAGACAGCACATTTGGGAAAATAGAGATGCTACCAAACGTCTCTATATGGGAGACCTTGCAGATGCAAGATAATAAGCTTGTGTTATTGTTTAGTGTTCAAACACTGGAACCCCTGAACACTCTAATTTAATAAATAATGTTGACTCAATCAAAACTATATTATTTTTTATTTTCTTTTTTACAAAGCATTTTTTGTCACAAGCAGAGAGCTGCGTAGATACAAACCATCATGCAATCCAATAAAGATTCCGGGATGAAGGAACTTTTATCAGGGAGATTTTTTTGTTCTCCACACCATCATTATACTTAGAATTACAACATTAACCTGTGTAGCTGGTTACTTAAAACTGGCCTTAAACTCTTAAACTTCTATTTTTCAAACTTCTTACATCGACTAACTCCACCGCTGTGGTAACGCTAGCTTGTACATGAGTTGTCATGCCAAGTGCAAATTAATTTTCAGCTTGAATCATTTCCATTTCTTTCTCTCCATAAAAAAAAATGTTTTGCAAGAACTAATATTTATTACAAGAACCTCATGTTTACAATATGATGTTCCTTTCTGTTTCTTGTGTAAAGTTGCTCCGTCTTTCTGGCACTAAAATGGAGCATTCCCGACAGATCTTCACATCTACATAAGTTTATGGCAGTGTAGCTGATAAACATCCTCTGTTTGGCTATGCCTTTATAATAAAACAACCTCTCTCAAGGGTGAATTTTTTTATTATTCTTTTTTGCTTGGCAACCAATGTTGTCCCTTTAATATTTTTGTTTAAGTCACAGCTTTTAACAGCATTCACACATCTGGGATATTGTTTACTTTCTGCAAAACAAAATAAATATATAAAAAAAATATAA